CACATATATATATATATATATATAATATATATATACCCCTTCCATTCTCTTTCTCTCATTCTCTCATCTTTTTCTTCTCTCTCTTTTTCTTCCGTACAACCATCCTTTTTCTGAATTTTTTCTTCTCCTTCGCTTGATCTGTTTTTTCCAGCTCTACTCATCTCCTTTTATAAGCAAGAGTAGTAGTTTAAATCAATTTCTCCACTAGAAAGATTTTCGAAAATCTGAAATTTTATCTCTTCTTTATTTTTGAATTTTTTTTCTTTTGTTTTCTTTTTTTTTTTAATGGGCTCCTTAATAATCTTCTCCTTCAACCCATGGGAGGTATCCACTCATTTATTACTCAATTTTCACTAAATCTCCCTGTTTTGGTGCAGAATTGATGTTTGTCACGAATTTTAGTAACCAAGTTAACCAGATCAGTCTAAATCTTTTTTAAAGAACTTATCTTCTGCTTCATTGCATTTATTAACTGATTTTGCACTTCTTGAAAGCGCTCTGGCTTTCCCTCTTCAATAACTGTAATATACTCAGAACTTAGATATCTGGTAGATAAATGATATGTTCTGCTTGACCTTCTAATATAAGATTCTTTAACAATCTAATATGGAGGGGATTATTTTCCCTACTCAGCATCATCATTTACATCTATTTGTGCTGACACATAATCACTTCCATCTCTTTCATTATTGACATTTCTGATTGTAGGAGGAATCAATGCAGGAAAATAAATCTCCTAACTTGTAGTCTTCTCAGATATCTCAAAATTTAGTAGGGTCTTGTGTTCATCAAAGATTACATCTCTCGACCTAATGACTTTCTTCTTCACTGGATCCCATAACATGTACTCAAACTTTGTATCTCCATAACCCGGAAGAATGCATGGAATAATCTTGTCATCTAGTTTCTATCTCTACTCCTTAAATACATGCACAAATGTCTTGCATGTCCCGAGGTCAGTCAGGTCTTAGCCTGAAAGATAGAGGGTTAGGAAAAAGTGAGAGTAGCTAACATAATTCTCATACCATACTTTATCAGGAATATCAAAGTTCAAAGTAGCTGATAGAGAGAGATTCATTATGTAGTAGGTGGTGTAAAATACTTCACCCCAAAATAACTTGGGTAGATTACCTATTTTTAGCAAGTATCTGACATTCTCTAGGATAGTTCTATATCTTCTTTTAGCAACACCATTGTGCTGAGGAGTACCTGAAAAAATCTTTTTATGTTTGATTTTATACTGTAAACAGTAATTCTCAAATTCTTTTGAAGTATATTCGCCACCATTGTCACTGCAAGGACAATTTAAAAGTGTTTCTTTTTCTTTTTCTACCATAGTATGGAACTGCTTGAAACACTGTAGAACTTGATCTTTTTTCTTCAAAACAAACATTTAAACTTGTCGTGAAGCATCATCAATAAATGTAATAAATATCTATTACTACCTAATGATTCCACATCAATGAGATCACATACATCAGAATAGACTAACTCAAGTATATTTATTTTTCTTTCAGAAGAATTATTAAAAGAAATTCTATATTGCTTACCATATAAACAATCATCACAAGAATTTAAACTCGTACCTTTATAAAAAAAAATGAGAGACTTCTTTGCTAGAATCTGCAATCATTTCTCGCTTATATGAGCCAACCTCCTACACCACAAGTCTCGCAAAACATCTTCTTCTGCTATATTTAGAGTATCTCTAACTATTTTTACTTGAGTCTTGTACAGCGTGTGACATAATCTACCCATTGCAACCACAATTGAACATTTAATAAGTTTCTATTTTCTACTACCAAATGAGTTGTAAAAACCATCAAGATCTAGAGCACGTGTAAAAATCAGATTTAAGCGTAAATCAGGTACATGCCACGTAATTTTTAGAGTCAATGTGCAACTAATATCTGTCTGCCAAAGTTTCCTGCTTTATACATAGTAAAGGCATCCCTCCTAAGTGTAGCATTGTAGGATGCTCCTGAATTAACAACTCACTCAGTATCAAGATCAATAACATGATCATGATTCTCAGTAAAAGAAATTACAACCAGTTCTTCATTATCAGTTATAACTGCTGTGGTATTCTGATCATCTATCTTTTTCTGATTATTCTGTTTCTTTTTCCAAATTTTACAGTTTCGTTTCATATGTCATTCATTGTCACAATGATAACAATTGAATTTATCTTTATTATGTATTTTAGAATCTCTGCTTTTACTTCTACCCTTGCTCTCTGTGACAAGAGTCTTTGAGGTATCACTGCCCATATCATTCCTTCTGATTTCCTCATTATAGAGACTATTTTTTACCATGGATGAAGACAAAACACCGTCTGAAGTAGAGTTACTAAGAGACACCACCAAAGTTTTCCAATTATCTTGCAATGAACTCAAAAGTAATAATGCTTGCATTTCATCATCTAGAGTTAATTTCATAATATTCAATTGATTTATTAAATCTTGAAACTCACTTAAGTGTTCTGCTATTGACTGTCCATCTCGCAGCTTCAGATTCATCAACTTTCTATGATAACAAAAGTTTTATTTTGAGCATTTTTTCTCTTGTACATATTCTCTAGTTTCTTTCACAAGTCTTGTGCATTGACTTCTTTGCTTATATAGTGACAGATACTAATATTCACCCATTGTCGAATAATTCCAACAGCTTTTTTGTGCATTTTCTCCCAATCATCTTTTGATTTTCCATTTGGCTTGATAGTTCCTAATTTAATAGGATCATAAAGATTTCTACAATAAAGAAGATCTTTCATATTTGTCTTCCAAGTTGAATAATTTGAAGCCGTCAGTTTAATCATAGTACCTGCGTATTCGTCCATCTTAATTTGCATAATTAATTTTGGATCACAGATCAATCAAGTTCTGATACCACTTGTTGGGTCTCGAACAGAAATATAATTAATTGTGTAAATTAAGGTAATCTCAAATTAATCCGCAAGAACTAATAATAATAATCTCAAACCAAATTGATGCACAACCGAACAAAAATAATAAGCAGATAATAACTATAAAATTAAATAGACACAAAATTTTACGTGAAAAATCCTTTAGTGTGAAGGAAAAAATCATGAATCAAGCTCCAAATCAAATCCACTGTCAAGAGAAATAGTACAAGATAATCCACCGAGAATTAAATCTAAAAAAAAAATAACTTCTTTTCTTTATGCATAACTTGAGGAGAAAGGTAAACAAAAATCAAATTTAAACTTTAATTAAAAAGGACAAAATTACTGATGTCAGCGATGATGTCACTGAAGAGAGAGAATGACAACCATTTTCTTCTTTTCCTTTTCTCTTGGTCACCACT